GATGGAGATGCTCTAACATTGAAACATAAAAAGATAAAATGAAGTTACAATCAAGTGCTTGGACAAAGATAAGAGAAAAGCATATGAAAAAGATAAAAATATGGTTATGACTTCACAGCTACAGCTCTGTTATACACTCATATTCCTTGAGGATCAGACTAAATGAACTGTCAGATGTGACTTGATACAAAGAATTTAGACACTTCCTAAGATTGTATAAATAAGAGATGAAACACGTATGTAAACCTTATGTTATGCAATCATAATTTCAGAGAAATATTCAGTTTTACAAAGTTTTGTAGAGCATCAGGGATTAAATCATGAGGCTTAATCATGGTGGAAAATCAAGATCAAATACCAGTTACATCTCTCACTATCAAACAAGTTGCAACCTTGAAGTTCAAAGAAGGAAACTACCTTTTATGGAAGCTTCAGTTTGAGCAGTTCTTGTCCAGCAAGAGGCTTCTAGGCTACATTACCGGCGCTCAACCAAGACCCCCTGAAACAGTGATCGTGTGAATGGCAATGAAGAAGCTCCAGCTGCAAACCCTGAGTTTACAAAGTGGCTGCAAAAAGTACAACAGAATTACATGAGATATGGCTTGCCTTAGCTAAGAAGTACAATAGAATTTCATAAACTAGAAGGCTAGATCTCCAGAGAAGGGTTCAAACCACTGTTAAAGGAACCAAAACTATGACCGCTTATCTCTCTGAAATCAAGTCTTTATGTGATCATCTAGACTCTATTGGAGCTCCGATCACTGAGAATGAAAAGATTCATGGTGTACTGAATGGTTTAGGAAAAGAGTATGAATCTGTGTGTGCTGTCACCAAACATGCTATGTACAACTATCCAGCTCCCTGCTTTGAAGACATTGTCTATAAGCAACTGGTTTTGAAGACAAGCTATAATCATATCAACAACCAGTAGAAGTATCTCCTCACCAAGCGTTCTATACAAACCGAGGAGTGTACTCAAATCGTGGTCGTGGAGGATACAGAAGAGGATATCGTGGTATGAGTACTTATTCTACACAAGGTCGTGGCTTTCCACAAAGGTTTGGTCAAAGCGCACAACGTCCTCAACAAGCTGCAGATAACCGTCCCACTTGTTAAATATGTGGTAATTATGGTCACCCTGCCAACAAATGTTACATACGCTTTGACCTTCACTTTTTGTTGATAAGCATCATCCACCGGCAAACGTTCTTACAAGAACTCATCACAATGGAGGAGAATGGTACCCTGATAGTGGCTCTTCTCACCACGCTACCAACACAACTCAGCATCTTGATTCTGGTCAGGAGTATGAAGGATCAGATCAGGTGATGGTAGGCAACGGCGACTACTTGCCTATCACTCATGTCAGCTCTACATCTATCCCCACCCAGACATGTAACATACCTCTCCTTGATGTTCTTGTATGTCTTGCAATTACCAAATCGCTGTTGTCAGTCTCCAAGCTTACAGATGATTATCCTTGTTATGTTACTTTTGACTCAGCAATTGTTTGTACTATGGATAAGGAAATCAACAAGGTTCTCAGTTAGGGAAACAAAACTAAAGAACTCTATCAGTTGGACAACCCTCGATTCCTGTCATTCTACTCCTCCAGACAGTAGAGTTCGAGTGATGCAGTTTGGCACAAGAGATTGGGGCATCCTAATGATCAAGTTCTTCTTCATCTTCAACAAACGCCATTCAAATAAACAAGACTCTCAAGTCCTTGTGCGAATCATGTCAACTTGGAAAGACATGTATACTTTCTTTTTCTAGTTCAGATTTTTGGCCAAGTAGAATTCTTGAGATGATACACTCAGATGTTTTTGAGATCCTGCTCATGTTGTTTCAGTTTAGGGATTCATATTCTATGTTGTATTCATTGACAATTATTCAAGATTCTGTTGATTTTATCCTATGAAAGCCAAGTCTGATATGTTTTCTATCTTCAAAGTCTTTCAACTAAAAGTAGAAACACAATATGACCAGAAAATCAAAGTGTTTCAGTTAGATGGTGGAGGAGAATTTGTCAACGAACAACTTGCACAACATTTTGCCAGTTCTGGGATTAAGCATATACTTTTTTGTCTTCACACTCCTGAACAAAATGGTCTAGCAGAGAGGCGACATAGACATATCGCAGAGCTTGGCCTTTCCATGTTATTTTAGAGTCATCTGCCAACTATGTTATGGGTTGAAGCTCTGTTTACATCAACTTTTCTCGGCAATCTCCTTCCCACCACGGTTAATGACAAGATGAAGAGTCCGTATGAAATGCTTAATGGAAAATCACCAGTTTATACGTCCCTAAGCGTCTTTGGTTGCACTTGTTATCCTTATCTCAGACCCTACTCACAGAAAAAGTTTGATCCTAAATCGTTTTTGTGTGTTTTCTTAGGCTACAAGGAAAAATACAAGGGCTACAGATGTTACCACCCTCCAACAAAAAGAGTTTATATTGATAGACATGTTCTGTTTGATGAAGATAGATTACCCTACAAAGATAATTATCAACATCTGATACCTTTCAACAACTACTCCATTGAGCTCTGCTTGGCGTCTACAAAATAAACATCTTGTTGTTTATTCACCAGATGATGATGAGAAAACGATGTCTGACAAACAATTTGAAGAAAGTCATCATATCATAAGAAAGAGCACAAGTCCACCTATGTGGCATGTAGTTCAACATCACCAACCTGTAGAGTCAAGTGTCTCGGGGTCTGGTCAGAATTCTCAGCACTCTGATAAGGTCTCTCAACATGGATCACCAAATGTACAAGTTCAACAACCTCTGCCTCAGCCTGAAGCAGAGAATGCTCATAAAATGGTGACAAGAGCTAAAGCAGGTATCATGAAGCCCAATCCTCGTTATGCCTTACTTGCGGTCAAAGGTATTCCAGAGATTCCTAAAAAAGTTAAGAGAGCTTTGAATCACTCATGATGGAATGGTTCCATGACAGAAGAGATAGAAAATTGTGATGAGACAAACGCGTGGACCTTAGTTCCTCCACCACAAGATGTAAATCTTCTAGACTGCAGATGGGTTCACCGAGTAAAGCTCAATGCAGATGGAACTTTCTCCAAATTCAGATCTTATATTGTTGCAAAAGGTAACGAGCAAGAGGAAGGAGTGGAATTTCTCGAGACATATAGCCATGTTATACGTACTGCTAGGGTTTGTATGATCTTGCATTTGGCTGTAGTTGAAAGATGGATATCGAACAACTTGATGTCAAAAATGCTTTTCTTCATGGTGACCTCACTGAAACCGTGTTCATGAGACAGCCTCTCGGGTTTGAAGATAAAGAACATCATGCAAGCTCAACAAAGCTATATATGGGCTTAAGCAAGCTCCTAGAGCTTGGTTTGATAAATTCTGCTTCTTGATCCAGTGCGGTTTTGTCTGCAACAGCAGTGATCCATCTCTATTTGTCTATAAAAAACAGTGGTGTCATCTTTCTGATTTTGTATGTTGATGATGTGTTGATAACTGGCAATGATCAACCTCTGATACATCAGTTGCTTAAGAGTCTCAGCAAGGAATTTAGAATGAAGGACATGGGACCTCTAAGCTATTTTCTTGGCATATAAGCACAGTTCACCTCTATTGGTCTCTTCTTAAATCAACAAACGTATGCGACAAATCTTCTACAAGCTACAGGGATGTTAAAATGTGCTTCTATGCCGACTCCCCTCCCTTTACAACTTGATAGAGTACCTCACAAGAATGAATACTTCTGGAATCCCACCTATTTTCGCAGTTTGGCAGGGAAGTTGCAGTGCCTTACACTTACAAGACTAGATGTGCTTGCTGTGAATTTGGTCTGTCAAAAGATGCATAAACCAACGGTATCTGATTTTAATCTCATGAAAAGAGTACTGCAGTATGTAAAGGGAACTTTGGAGATGGGATTAACGTTAGAATCTGATACAAGCTATCGAATAAGGGCTTATTATGATAGCGACTGGGCTGGTTGTCAGGAGATAAGAAGATCAACTGGTGGATTCTGTACATTCTTGGGATCGAATATGATATCATGGTCTGCTACAAGACAAGACTCAGTAGCAACATCATCAACGGAGGCAGAGTCTTAAACTCTTTCAGAGATGGCTGTTGTACTGGAATGGATCAGTCTTATGATGAAGAATATTAACATTGTTCAGTCTGAACAAGCTGAGATATACCGTGACAATCTTTCAGCAGTTCACCTTACAGCTAATCCAGTTCTTCATCGCAAGTCAAAGCACTTCGCAACATATTACCATTTTGCTCGCGAGAAAGTGGGTAATGGAACTCTCATAGTAAAACATATACATGCAACTCAACAACTTGCAGATATCTTTACTAAGTATCTGCCTCGGCATAGCTTCTTCAATTTGCGTTTCAAACTTGGAGTTGACTTTCTACCCACCTCGAATTTGCGCGGGGTATTAACACGAGCCATTCTGATCAAGTCCAAGCCTATACTATATCAAGAAATGTGAAACCCAACAATGAAACAGAAAAAGACAAAATGAAGTAACAGTCAAGTCCTTGGACAAAGGCAAAAGAAAAAATAAGAATACGATTATGACTTCACAGCTGCAGCTCTGTAATAGGTTCAGACTCCTTGAAAATCAGACTGAATAAGCTGTCAGCTGTGACCTTATACCGAGAATCTAGACACCTTCTAAGATTGTATAAATAAGAGATTCTTAAGATTGTATAAATAAGAGATAAAATACGTCTGTAAACTTTAAGTTATGCAATCATAATTTCAAAGAAATATTCAAATTTAAAAAGTTCTGTTATTACCCTTACATCTAACACTATTAAAAGTTAGATAACAAGCCCTCTAAGGTATGCCACGTCCTCGTAAATAATCACCCAATGAGAGTTCATTATTTTGCCATGTCACAACAGCTTTGTTCGAAAATGATTTTTATTTTCGTGTGGGCTCATGATATTTCCTAATGGCCCAGTCAAATCCATTTCTTCTTGAAACGATTCACAGGAAATGGGATTTGTCGTCGTCTTCAAGCGTCCAGAATCTCTCTCCCCCTGGCTCTTCCACTTCATTTTCTCCAATCTCTGTTTTTCTTTTCCAATCAATGTCGATGTTAATAGGATTCTTAAAAGTTTTGTTCCACCTCCCCTTGATACTCCTCCTATATAAAGCTCTATCTCTTAACCTAGATCCATTATAAATAAAACAAAATCTACTATGCAGAAACTGCATCAATGACTATAAAATCCACCACAAAGTCTCAGCTTATAACCGGAAAATCTCTCGCTAATCATCCACATCATATCCCTTCTATTTTGTTTTTTCTTTTTGTTTTGGAGTTGCAGAGGAGGAAGTCGGGCGGCCATGCCTTTCAGATCACAACGCTCCCGGACCAAACCTGTGTAACAGATGCAGTTATTAATCATCTTCGAAATTAAACAAGCATTTTCGTATTTTCCCGACTCCTCCCACTCTCTCCCTATAATTTTTTTTTGTTTGATGCGATGAACATCCTCACGCCCCCAAACCTGTCGTTACATCTCCCACTTATTCTTTAAAAACTTCTTCGGTTTTCACTTCTCATGTTCTCTTTTTTTTTTTTTTTTGTTGTTGCAGACTGGGTGCTCGAAGTACCAGATGATTATAACAGAGACGCATCTTAATCGGCCTCATCTGTTCCTGGTTTCTTAGAAAGTTTTACCATTCGGCGCCGTAAAGTAGCGCTAGCCGCCGTAAAACCAATAAGGTAAAGAACCTTCAGACCATGCTGATTCAACATAATATCATCTATTTCTGCAACAATGTTGGCTTACCAAACCTTTTTATTTGATGTTAACACCGGTCATTGTTACAATACCGTCAGTCACACGGCTTCTGTTCTGTGTTTCAGGGAAGCCTGTAACATCACCAAAAGAGGGGTATTGATGGGTGTGGACATGCTTCTACTAGATGAAAAGGTTTGTGGCCTGAAAATTAATCATTTTTAACTGTAGATGCTTGTGATATTCAGTAGATAACTCTAGATACTTTTAAGTCGTTTCCATGAACTTATGTTGTTTCACCAGTGAACTCTTTTAACACTATATAAACATCTCCAGCTGTTCTTGGGTTGATCTTCACATATTGACATGAATCATTTGTCTGCTGCTTCGAATTGATTTAAGCTGACAGCTTCTCTTATACACTCCGGGACCTCTTATTGTGTCTATTCCCAGGCAACGTTTATCCAAGGCTCTATCAGTGTACAACAGCTAAACACTTTCCGTCTTGGGGAGCTTGACACATTATGATTAACATACAGATTGACAGATACAATTATTTTTTCATAACCGGTACGTGATTGCATAATTTATATTTCGATTCTAACTTGGAACTAAACTTAGCTGCAGTTCTACCACTGTTTGTCTAAGTTTATTGGACGCAAAAGACGACCAGCTAAAACAAAAGGTCCTGTTCATGGGTGTGACAAGCATTAACTTCTATTTTGTTGGAGGTAACCTTTTTGTGTATGTCTTTGAAAGTTAATATTTGAAACTGCTACAATCACTCATTAAGTTCCTAGCATATACAGGGAATCTAACCCTGGAAGCTACATGTGGGACATATTTCTACCTATGCAAGTGCTGGTGTGACCTTTATTGCTAGGTTACTCGCTCTTACATTTAACATTTAATCTTGCTTTATTGAAAACCAAAACCACAGCACATACAAATACGTCTTCTTCTATAGTTTTCCTGTTGGCCACTTTGACTCATCAATAAGTTTCCTCAAAGATGGATGTGGAAAAAAATTAGAAACAGTGAGTGTGTCAGAGCTCAACACATATGTGGCCACCTCCCTACCTCAGGTTCATTAAATATCTCTTTCTAACTGCTTATGGTTGTCATATTCTATTCAGTGTTTACACCCCTTCATACGCTCAACCTCAGGTTGTAGAGTTCTTGTGCATTGGAAAAGTGCACGGCATATACAATGCCCATGGCTGGTGATATGTCTCATGCTCTAAATGTTATAAGAAGCTTAAACGTGAGGTTGCTTCACTCACATGCCCATCACGTAATTACTCCAGTGCGGTGGGTGCTTTCAGGTATTGTAACGCAACCTTGGCTAAGTTCAGCGCAAACCATATTTAGTTCCTACTTCCCAGTGCTCTTTATTTACATGTAAGGTTTATGTTTTCTTTTGTAAACATGGACATGAAGGTCACAGCAATCTTGGTGGTGATGAGCCTTCTCCCAGTATGAATGGTGGAAATATCTCTAACCAATCCACCCAATCCAAAGCAACAGCCACAGTTGAGGAAACTATTTCTGCCAGTAGTAATGCAGAAGAACATATTCGAGTAGGATCGTTCATCTTATGTTTTACCATATATTTTAGTGTTTGACTCTCTCATCTTTGTTTCTTATTTGAACATTTATTATTACTCGAAGTTATTCGAATCATGTTTTGGTTTAAATATTATACATACGTGATCATTAACAATTTCAAAACAATGCATTATAAGTAATGTAACCAACAAATATTAAACACAATCTTATACCAGATTTTTGTGCCAGAACTTTATAACCAATTATAAATTTAGTTTTTATTTTCCAACTACAAAGTTACTCCACCTACTGGGATGTTGTGGCTAAGTTTCTGTTGACAAATAAACTGCTACGCTAACACGGTAAAAACCCTAATTTCCCATGCTAACAATCTCTAAAAACTCAGGACATTGTTTTGTCATATTCATGTAATAGTGTAGCAGAGAGGAAATGTGTTCAACAGGCATGCATATATTTATCATTCATAATGGACTATCACTTGATAAAAATACAAAAATATGGACCATAAACTGCTTTGTCTACATTAATTAAAAGAGGTGTAACTGATAAGCCTAAGAGGACGGTAAGAGTTCCCTCATTCATAAAAATGTGTTAAAATACCAGTCACTTAAAATTATTAATTAAAAATATTTGTAAGAAAAAAAAAAGAGGCTAATAGTTAATATGAAAGCTTGAGCTTGAGACAATTTTGGCGAGAAGAAGACATGTAAATAGGTCAAGTTGTTTTGTTACCCTGATTTTTGTAAAATTAACAAAACTAAGGAAAAAATAAATTTTAATAGTTAACTTTTTTTTTTAACACTGGATAATTATGCATTACAAACTATGAGAAATTACAAAGACGATATTACAGCCGACAATTCTACCTGCCTTATGCGGATTCACGTCTAACTGCATCACCCTGAGCCGTCCTGTGAGATCCATTCCTGACGGTACGTCTTGCGCCATGCTGAAGATCTCTTGTAAGTTTTTCTCCAAACTGCATAATTCGCCATTCACCTTCTCCGGGAATTGAAACCCTCCTGGTGTAGAAACTGCATAGCCTGGGATTCGAAACCCAGACCTGGTGTAGAAGCCTTTAAACCTTAACCACTAGGCTACGGTGCTTCCACTTTTAATAGTTAACTAATACAGTAACAAATATTTTTTTGTTGTCGTCCATATCTTGCTACTGTGCTTACTAAAAGCACAATTTAAAGCGCTCTGAGTTATACTACGTCGTTTAATTAAATCGACCAATTAAAAATTTCTATTTTGCCACATCATCTTTGTTAATCGAGATAGATTGACCCATTTTTAACGAGCCTGAGCTCAAGCCTTTTCAACAATTTGTAACCAATTGAAAAGTTGTATACCATTTCTATTTCTAAATGTTGGTTTTATCTAACGCGCACTCCCGTAAAATATCTAATTGTTTTTCATTTGAACCGAAAATCCAATTGTTTGAGATTACCGGTTTATATCATTTTTAACCATGACACCAAAACAACAGAGTTGATGTAATTCTATCTCTAAAAGCATAACAAAGTGACATTATTTCAAAAAAATTGATATAGCGTGAACAATGTTATACCAATTTTGTTTTTTTTTTCCAATTGTTTTTTTCTTTGTACTGAAAAATCCAATTGTTTGAGATTATCGGTTTAGATCATTTTTAACCATCACACCAAAACATGCAATCTTATCTCTAGAAGCATAACAAAGTGACATTATTTCACAAAATTTGTTATAGTGTAAATAATGTTATACCAATTTTGTGTAATATTATTTATCATATCAAATATTAAAATAATGTATATACTTTTTATTTAGTTAGATAAATTAGTTTTATTAATTAGTTTTAAATTATAGTTATACCATATACTTTATTTTTATTTTTACATTACTAAAACATTAAATTATTATTGTGCTTATATTTTAAATTAATCATATAACTAAATGAGTATTACCAGTAACATTAAACTGTAACAGAATAAAAATGTTTTTCCTTTTAAAATGTATATAATTTTAATATCGAATAATATTAAAAAATAAATAAATAAATATATATATATATATATTTACTAACAAAAATAATATGTATATATATATAAATAAACATAAAATATCAAATTTTAAAAATTAAATATAATAAATAAGTTACAAATAATTAATGTAATAAATTACCAAAATTAAAAAGTTATTAAATATAAAAAATGTTTTGGTGTAAAGTTTAGTGTGATGGTTGGAGATGAAAACTAAAGTTTAACACCAAATTTTCATGTCAAGGTGGGAAATGCTCCCAGTAATGTTGTGTTATCTTATTTTTATGGATTATGACATTTTTTATTTTTGCCTTCTGCAGAATAGTTTTGTTTAGTTACAAAGAGAATTTGATTGAAAATTTGTATTACTGAAGACACCATTAAACAATATAAATTATATTAAGTTTTATCATTTTCAATAACCTTTCACACTCAATTATATGTTTAAAGATATGGTCTCTTATCAATTATAAAATATTATAGTAACATTGCTTTCACAATTATCATACATAGAGATATCTTTAGAAACAAAAATAAAATGATGACTGCACATTTCTATAACAAAATTTTGAGGAACAAAATTATTTATATGTCATATTAATTCAACATAACTTAATAGATAATTTCATATAATTAATAATATATTTATTGTGTGATCAACTTCTAGAATAATTTTTTTAAACATTCTAAAAGAAACGTAGCAAATGATACAAAATAAAATAAAAGCAATATAACAGAATAAAAAAATATGTTCATGAAATATAATATTATATTTTTATGATAATTTACGTTATTTATCATCAAATTTTGTTTTACTCAATTCAGTATTGCACTATCAAACATATTCAAAATGGTTTTAGTCTTAAACAAACATTCAATAATATTTTAAATTCATGATTTAAGTTTACAACAGTGTTAATAATTTTTTTCTCATACACTTATTTTATAATACAATTTTGATACTTATTCAAACAACACAATAATTCCATATTGACTATTTAACTTTTAAAAAGATGTTATGTCAAATGCAACAATTTATAAATATGTAAAATTGATAATTTTCAAAACATATTATCCACGCGTAGCGCGGAAAAAAGATCTAGTAAGTTATAAAAACTCACCAATGTTGTGGCTCTCTCAACTTTAATTGACAAGTCAAACAAAGAAACAACTTTACAACTTTTTAGTATCCGGTTATGCAAACCCTTTGGTTATTTGATCTTTACTTTTTCAGTTTTTCTTGCTCTTGTTATCGACTTGTCAAAAGACTATTATTATTCTGTTTTCTTCTTTTTCTGAACAAAAAACTATTTTTTTGGTCAACGAACAAAAAACTATTATGATTCATAGATGCATGCAATTTTCTGTACTAAAGTCTAATCTTTAGATTGTTTTCTCAATAAATACTCGCCAATTTATTTTCTTTGTTGCATGCCGTGGAAGTTGTGGGCATCTATCTCTTATGAGAAAGCGACAGAGTTTGATGACTATTACAATACTTGTCTCTTAAGAAGACTATAATCCTAACACTTTACTTTCTGTAGAACTTCTGTTACTGGCTAATTTACCGATGTGGGTGCCAGCGATATATCCACCTGACCAAGCATTCTGCATAAAACAATACTTGCATGAATTACTATGCATTTTAAACATTTTGATTGCGTCTTAGTAGTCCTGGTTGCATGTTAACCTGAAAATTGAAACCTCCTGTAACTCCATCTACATTTAGTACCTGCAGACACAAAATGTAAGAAAGGAAAGGATATGATGCGACGATGGTCATGTCATGTTTATATGTATGTATGTGAAAGCCTAAATAAACACAGTAGCAAATAAGCAATGTTTTACCTCTCCTGCAAAGAAAAGATTAGGAACCAATCTGCTCTCCATGGTCTTCAAAGAAATCTTGAAACAGCAAGAGACATTGTAAAGATCAGGTTTAGAAAAGGAAAAGAAAAACAAAGGGTTAGTTAAAGTTTTCAAAAAGGTAAACCTCGGATAGAGGAACTCCTCCTGCTGTCACAAACTCATCCTTGTATTGACCCTTTTACAGAAAGATAACAAAATACAGCGTCATCACCACCATCTTGAGTAAATTTCATTTTGATGTTATACCTTGCCAGTGACTTGAAATGTACAATGTTTAAGAAGATCAGAGATAGAGCTCAAGGAGTTATTTGACAGTGAAGCCCACAAGGTGTCTTTTGAAGAACCCTGTTATATCATGAAGATAGTCAAGGACATTTGCATAAGATCAACAGGTTTTATGGTAGGTAAAAGCTACCAAAGAAGGTTCGATAAGAACCTCGCGGTCTAGAATGTATCTCCAGAATCTATTGACAAGACCAAATTGAGGAGGAAAAGTATTGGATACCTTATGCTTCTGCATTAAGCAATGCTCAAAAATTTTAATATCAAAGACCAGAAAAAAAATAAATAAAAAAAGAAAGAGAGTAAGAGTGTGAAATGCTGTTACTGAAAACTGCAGCTTGTGTTGTTTGAGTAGAGATTTAGCAGTTTCAATGTTAATATCTGGTATGAAGTCAACAATAAGAAGCCCTGCAACCAAACCAGATCAATCTTTATTGGAATACATTTACAGTCACAGAGTCAACAGATAACAAAATTTCACTCTTTGAAGAAGGAACATCCGAACCTTTGTACTCTGAAGAGAAGAGATGGCGTGCACCCCATGCAGAGAGCCTGAGAATAACCGGTCCGCTAAGTCCCCAGTGTGTCACAAGCATTGGACCAACCTTGATACAAAATAAGTAAACTTGAACCTATCCTCATGACAAAGTATGTAAAAGATATAAAGGGTTAGCAAGAGAAATGGAGATCCACACCTGCACGAGCTTTGACATATCCGGGCGAGGATGTTCTAGTTTCAGTTTGGCTTGGACATTGGAGAAACTAATCTGAGCAAGAGAAAGAAACAATCTCAAACATGAAGCTCATAACACTTAAATCATTCTAGGAAACTTTAGTAACAGAGGAAAAATTACTCCTGCTAACTCAGCAAGTAACGGATCATTGATCTTAAAAGTGAATAAACTCGGTACTGGATCGACAATGGAGTGACCAAACTGAGTGGCTAAAGAGTGACCCTGTGACATAATTAAACAAGTCTTATGTAAACATTATGAAAAGGCTTTAAGAAAACGAATTCATGTTCTTCAAACGGAATATTGCAACCTGTTGGCTACTTCCAGTAGCAATAAGAAGATATGAAGCTTCAATAAATTCAGAAACGTCAGCAGTTCGCTTCCCAACTTTAATAAGGAACTTCCCATCGGGTTGAGTAGACGCACTTAACACAGACTTTCCTCTCTCAAGCCTAACTGGTTCATGATATTTAAGTGGATATATGAGTGAAGAGAAGTCAAGAATAAAGAAGAATGGAATGTTGTTATGATACCTCCTCTAATAGTTGCTTCGTGTAAGAGACAATCAACTACAGAAGATGAGTTATCGCTCACAGGGAATACTCTTCCATCGTCTTCAGTCTGTTGGCTACGAGAGTTAGGTCGAAAATGCAGAATAAGACAGAACATCTCTTACAATTAAATTGATGGAGATTCACAACACCTTTAGTGGCACTCCATGCTCGGAAAACCATGACATGGTATCAGCAGGTCCATGTGTATAAAAGAAAGAACCTTTAAGCTCTTTATTACCACGAGGATAATTCTCCGCCAGTCTCTGCATACAAATGCAGTTAAAGTTAACAGAAGCTCAAATCAAACAAAAACAAGTAAAACTAGAAGAAAGCTTCATGATTTTGCACATTCCTCATGCAAAAAGTTTCTAGCTTTCTATGTATATAACAGCACCCTCAATAGTGTCTATGCAACCCTCTGAGAATCTCTCTTTAATATTAAGTTAACAGAAACACAAATCATGCTAAATATGCACCATAGCTACAATTTTGAAGCATTAAGTTTGAGGGTTTCTATGTGACAACACTGACAATAGAATCTCTGCCAATCTTTATATACAAATCTGATATTCAGTAAGCTAAACCGTTAAACACAATCTTCTTCCCACGTGATTCTGCAGTTTTCAAGCATAAAGTTTGAAACTTTCTGTGTGAACAACACTCACAATAGTTTCCGTGCAATGCCCATTTGTCACATTGCATCGACCACCACCTGAAATCTTCACCTGCGGATTGCAAACGGATTAAAAAAATAGATGTCCTTTTGATAGCCAAATGAATTTAGTTAATGGAAAAAGAAGAAGCGGCTAAAACCTTAGAAAGAAACCTCCCTTTCTCGATAACCAAAACTCTGAGTTCAGGAGAGAGAGTCTTAGCCCTAATAGCTCCATAAACTCCAGCTGCTCCACCACCAACGACTACCAAAACCTCATTCTCATCGGCTAAACTGTTTATGGCAGTGGCAGTGAAAAGACTCCTTCTCGTGGTCGTTGTTCTACATAACAAAGCTTTTACAGGAACCCATAAAGGATTTACTAATTTCAAGTTCATTACGCCCACTCAAATTTTCAAAAAATAAAAAAAGGATTCTCACTTTATCCTAATGTCGTCGATTTGAGCATTGAGTAAACCCAGAAAAACTACCCGTTTTTTTTTTTTTTTAAACCCTTCAATTGCAAGGATGACGATGATATATTGTCGGAACGACATCGTTCCGTCTAATGCTCAAAACGACATCGTTACAATAAAATATTTTGGAGTGAGTTACCCTATAAAGCACTTGTGATTTTGTTTGCATTATAAAACACACTAGGTTAAGATCCACGCCTTACAAAAATGATTTAAAATATATTATTGAAAACTATTATTTGGATTCATACTAAATATTTTAAATTGATACAATTTCATAATAAATTATATATTGTGTATACTTTGTAAAGACAATGTAACAGTTCAGGCTCATAGTTTTTATATTAAGCAATTGTGTATGTTGGATCGGTAAGTGTTTTTTTTCTTGCTTTATATCTTACCTTATGGTGGGAGAAGTTTTTATTTGTTGAGTGTTCTGTTTACTGTGTTGATAATTGAGAATACATTGGGGTAACTATATTGTTTTTGCCTCCCAACCAACAATGTGTCTTCGTTGGATTTAGTCTCTAAGTGAATGAGTGAAAATGAAAAAAAAAGTATCAAACTTTTTTGAGATAGCCCCTCATAATCAAGGCATTTTCTATGGCAACTACACATCAAAAGTATACGTACAAATAAAATAGGTATAATACCGATTAAATGACTTGTTAGTAAACTTGTTTCTCAAAAGGAATTTTAACTATTTTGATAATATTGTGTATTGTCTTGACCATCAAATATAGTTAGTAGTGGGAGTGGCCAAAGAAGAATTTCCACAAACAGTTTCATAATAAATTATATATTGTGTATACTTTGTAAAGGCAACGTAACAATTAAAGCTCGTAGTTCTTATATTGGTTGTAAAGTCAATTGTGTATGTTGGATCTTTAAGTTTTTTTTTCTTGCTTTATACCTTACCTTATGGTGGGAGAAGCTTTTATTTGTTGAGTGTTCTGTTTACTGTGTTGATAATTGAGAATACATTGTGGTAACTATATTGTTTTTGCCTCC